GAATGAAGACTGGCTCATGGATCAGTGATGAAGCCTCGATTACAAGCACAGCATTTGGTTATCATGCTGTGCAAAAACATTATAAAAGCTGCCACATTTGTAGATATTATTATTATTATTATGTTCATAATCAGCACAGGTAGGTCCACTGGTATTTGGAAATTAACAAAGTTTTTATAATTGTGCCTCGGTACACCACCATCAAAGTTGGCACTTCAAGTGCCAACTTTCAGCTTCGATTCAAGAGGGTTTACAAAAAGTTCCACACATCTTTATTCACAGTCCAACATTTTGATGGTGGTGTACCGAGGCGTGTGAGGCGAGGGGTTTAATAACAGCTGTGCCACGAGCTGAAATATTTTCACATGAAGTCAATTCACTAATATTAACTTTTAACTTCACATTTAGTAAACAGCCTGCTCTGTGTGTTTGCTTTGCCACAATGTGCTCATTCCTATCTATCCATCAGTGTGTCAGCTGATGTTAGCCGTGTGGGATGTTGTGTTGTTTTGCTCCTCTCAGGAAAACAGGTTGGACTTGCCTCCCGGAATCATGCGTCTGTTTTAATCGAACAAAGAAGTATAATCATTAAATATTAGCACACACAGTTACATTCAGTTACACTGCTGAATGAAACAATTTGTTAAAAGTATCTTCAGCTAAAAGTGATTTCTTTTCTCCAAAGCAGAAGCGTCTTCATATGAAGTGGTGTACATCGTATGAACTTCCATAAAACACACATTTTGTCTTGTTTTTAACTCCAGCTAAATATTACAAAATCAGCTAATAACATCATAATTCACTAGTTCCTATTATGTTGAATGCTTATGATCTTCAACACTGAATTCAAGTCTTTTTTCATATGATAACATCTGAATTATGTTTCCCTTAAACATGTATTTTCAGTGTTATGAGCATAAGGCCTTAATGTGGAGATTAATTCACATGAGAGCAACCAAAGACGACTGCTTTCCTTTGCAGATTTTTTTCATCTGAAGGCCAAAAGGAAAAAAAGATTCCACTTTGTTACTTTTATGGGTTTTGGAACAATAACTTGTGTTTGCCTGTCGAGTCCACTTGATGCACAGTTTCATCTCCATTTCTGCTCTTTTATCGATCGAAATATTATAAACCCCACAACTGCTCTGTGTTCATAATGCAGCACAATTGGATCAGATCCCCGTGGCTGTCGACTGATCTGATGCAACCTCGCGGAGCAGTTTCACCGGCTGCGCTCTCAGTCATGAGGTGCTTGTGAGTGCATGTGAAATGCAGATAAACAGGCTTGGTGCCAGGCATCTTGTGACCACTTCTTTTGTTTATACAGTCATTGAACACATCTTCCTCCTCTTCCCTCTTCTTTACTAAATACCATGACTTTACATGAACTCTTTTGAATTTTATACTTTTCCAGTTTTTCTCTTTTCCCTCATTTATATGTAGCCTTCTTTCCCCACTGCTGATAATAAATATGCCACAGACAGTGATCGTTTTAGGGGTCACACATTTAATCCAGAAGTTAATAAGTTAAAAAGTGAAGCAG